GGCCGGGGCCGGGGCCGGGGCTGGGGCCCGAGCCGGGGCTGCGTGCCGGAGGAGGAGAGCAGTGACGGGGAATCCGACGATGAGGTGAGGCGGTCGGAGGCGTCCCCGGTGCCGGGCGGGGCGAGGCCGGGGGCTTCCAGGGGTCCGGGTGGCCCCGAAGGGTGGCGTGGGAAAGGGGATCTCAGGGCCCTGCGACGAAGAGGCCTTGGGCATAGGTATGGGAGCTGCATGGAGCTGTCGGAGGAAGGGGCCTCTGGAAGTGGAGAGAGAAGCCCGGCTGCAGCTGGGCACAGGGGCCCGAGGCAGATCCTGCAGAAGTGTCCTGGGCTGGTCCTTCTTGGTAGCTGGCGAAGCGGGGCCAGTAAAGGTGTGGGTGGGCAGGCTGTGGGGACTGCATGCCCCGCCGGTGGTGGTTGACAGCAGCTGCATGACTCCAGTGGACCCAGACCAGGGCTCTGGGCTCGCACCTGTAGGCTGACCGCCCTGCCGCTTAACCTCGGCCGCGTCCCTGGCTTTTGCAGTGCCCCCATTCCTCTTCCGACCTGAAGTGGAGAGAGGGTGAGAGGCTGAGTGAGGGCTTCCTCTTCAGGCCATGGTTTGCAGAGAAATGCAACGAAGTCTGAGAGGGCTTCCTAGCAGGTGTGGGCTGCATTAAGGCAGTCTGTAGGCACCCGAGGGCTCAGTGGCTTCTGATACAGGAGACTCTGGGTACCCCCTACGTGGGTGCCCTCCTCTCGTTTTTTTCATTCAGGAAGAAGCGGGTTTGAGAAGGCATAAATAGAGGCCCCCCACCCCTACCCCAAGTCACAGTGTCAGGGAATGGTAGGGCGGTGCCTGATCCCCGAGACCCTGCCCAGTTCCTTTTGAGGCCAGCAGGCCATGGAGGCTGGTCTGCTCTGGCACAGGGGGTGGGGTTTCAAGATTCCCTCTGCCTCCATGCCTAGGGAAACATCCTGTTTTCTACTCCCCCCATCCTCCACTCTCTTTAGTTCCAATCTCCTTAGTTGTTTGTGACTAGGCAGGGGTACATTAAAGGGAAAACCGGGGTGATCCCCAATACCTGAGTCCCAGGTGGAACAAGGGCTTTGGCACTGACTGCTGTTTCTCCCCTCCACCCCTGGCCCCCTAAATCAGGAGTTTCAGGGTTTTCATTCAGATGAAGATGTGGCCCCCAGTTCCCTGCGCTCTGCGCTCCGATCCCAGCGAGGTGAGTGATGGGGAAACTCTACCTCTGTAGCTTTACAGGAATGTTATTCTTGCTGTTCGTGTCAGCTTTTCCCTGTTCAACCAGAGTCTCCATCAGTTACCGAGTGTTTACTGTGTTCAAAGCCCAAGTTAGCCTGGGCTGTGGGGGAAGCAGACCAGTAAGACTTAGTCCCTGCCCTCCTGGAGAGCCTTCCTCCACCCACAGGGCTAGCTTGACCCATCTCCCCACACCTATTCTCCTTTTAGGTCGAGCCCCTCGGGGTCGGGGCCGCAAGCATAAGACGACCCCCCTTCCGCCTCCTCGCCTAGCAGATGTGGCTCCTACTCCCCCCAAGACTCCTGCCCGGAAACGGGGTGAGGAGGGCACAGAACGGATGGTGCAGGCACTGACTGAACTTCTCCGGCGGGCACAGGCACCCCCAGTCCCCCGGAGCCGGGCATGTGAGCCCTCCACGCCCCGTCGATCTCGGGGACGGCCTCCAGGACGGCCAGCAGGCCCCTGCAGGAAGAAGCAACAAGCAGTAGTGGTGGCGGAAGCGGCTGTGACAATCCCCAAACCCGAGCCCCCACCTCCTGTGGTTCCAGTAAAACACCGAACCGGCAGCTGGAAGTGCAAGGAGGGACCTGGCCCTGGACCTGGGACCCCCAAGCGCGGAGGACAGTCTGGGCGAGGAAGCCGTGGAGGCAGAGGCCGAGGCCGAGGCGGGCTCCCCCTTGTGATCAAGTTTGTTTCAAAGGCCAAAAAAGTGAAGATGGGACGATTGTCCTTGCAACGTGAATCAGGTCAGGGTCAAGATCAACATGAGGAAAACTGGCAGGATGCCCCCCAAGGAAGAGTTGGATCTGAACAGGAAGAGGGTCCTTGCTGGAAGAAGGAGCAAAAACTGGAGGAGCAGGAGCAGGAGCAGGAGCAGGAGGAGGAGGAGGTGGAAGAGGAAGAGGAGGAGGGAGAGGAAGAGAGAGAAGAAGAAAAAGTCGAGGAGGACGAGGGGCAAGAGAGAGCTGTAGCTGAGGAAGAGATGATAGCTGAGGAAAAGGAAGAGCTAAAGCTGCCATCACCACCACTGACTCCTTCAACCCCTCCACCTCCCCCACCCCCTCCGATATCTCCCCCATCCCCACTTTGCCCCCCACCGCCCCCCGTGTCTCCCCCACCTCCATCATCACCTCCACCTTCTGCCCCAGAGGAGCAGGAAGAATCCCCTCCTCCAGTGGTCCCAGCCGTGTGCTCCAGGAAGAGGGGCCGGCCTCCCCTGACTCCCAGCCAGCGGGCTGAGCGGGAAGCTGCTCGGGCAGGGCCAGAGGGCACCTCTCCTCCAACCCCCAGTGCCACCATGGGAGGCCTTCTAGAAGACAGTCCCACTGTGGTCCCCAAAAGTACCACCTTCCTGAAGAATATCCGGCAGTTTATTATGCCTGTGGTGAGTGCCCGCTCCTCCCGTGTCATCAAGACACCCCGGCGATTTATGGATGAAGATCCCCCTAAGCCTCCAAAGGTGGAAGTCTCACCTATTCAGCGACCTCCCATTGCTGTCTCCCCACTCGCCCCCCAAGAACCGGCGCCAGTCCCCTCTCCCCCACGTGCCCCAACTCCTCCATCTAGCCCTGTACCGCTCCCTGAGAAGAGAAAGTCTATCCTAAGGGAACCCACGTTTCGCTGGACCTCACTGACTCGGGAACTGCCGCCACCTCCCCCTGCTCCTCCACCAGCCCCACCCCCACCCCCACCCCCAGTCCCTGTCACTCCATCCCGGAGACCCCTGCTCCTTCGAGCCCCTCAGTTTACCCCAAGCGAAGCCCACTTGAAGATCTACGAATCGGTGCTTACTACTACTTCTCTTGGGGCCCCTGAAGCCCCTGAGCCAGAGCCGCCTCCCGCCGATGACTCTCCGGCTGAGCCTGAGCCACGGGCAATAGGCCGCACCAACCACCTCAGCCTGCCTCGATTTGCCCCTGTGGTTACCACTCCTGTTAAGGCCGACGTGCCCCCTCCTGGGGCTCCAGCTCTGAGCAGTGGGCAGCAGCCTCAGGCTCAGCTACAGCAACCCCTGCAGGTCATGCACACCCAGCTGTTGCCCCAGGCTCTCCCACCCCTACAGCCACCGCTGCAGCCACAGCTACAGCTGCAGCCACCGCTACCACCACCACAGCCACCACCACAGCAGTCGCCACCTCCGCCACAGCCTCCACTACCACAGCAGCCACCGCCCCTGGAAAAGGCCCAGCTCGCAGGCCTGGGTTCCTTACCACTGTCTGGTGTGGAGGAGAAGATGTTCAGCCTCCTCAAGAGAGCCAAGGTGCAGCTGTTCAAGATCGACCAGCAGCAGCAGCAGAAGGTGGCGTCTCTGATGCCGGTGAGCATGGGCCTTCGGCCAGGTCCTGTGCCTAGACGTCCGACCTTGGTTCTCCGCAGCTCCTTAACCTCCTGCCTCCCTAACGCCCTCCAGTACTGCAGGGAGCTCTCATTGCCGGTCCTGACCCTCTTCCTCAGCTGCCCATGTTCCTTCCCTGGTAACCCCTCGCCCTACATTAGTCCCCTGGAGAGCTCCAAGCTTTCTACCCTCTGATCCTGTTACTCTCCCACCAGCCAAGCCCTGGCGGGCAGATGGAGGAGTGCATGGGGGCCGTCAAGCAGACAGCAGACCGAGGCTCTGTCAGGCCTGAAGACGAATCGTTGGAAGCGAAGAGAGAGAGACCGTCGGTATGAAGTGGGAGCAGGGCCCTCTGAAGAAGGCTGGCCGCAGGCACGGGCAGCTCCCCACATGTAGTCGCGTTTCTCCTTCCCCAGGGCCCCGAGTCGCCTGTGCAAGGCCCCCGCATCAAGCACGTCTGCCGCCATGCTGCTGTGGCCCTGGGTCAGGCCCGGGCTATGGTGCCTGAGGACGTGCCCCGCCTCAGCGCGCTCCCTCTCCGGGACCGGCAGGATCTCGCCGCAGAGGGTAGGGTGGGTGTGTGGTGGGGAGACTTGACAGCTGTGTCAAGTCTGGGGTGAGTAGTGCACCAAGAGCTTAGGAGAATGGGGGCCGAGTTGGGTGCTTGGGGCTCAGTGGCATGTGAGTTGAGGACCGAGCCTTAGCCACGCGGGCTCGGTGGCACTGTCGCTGATGAGTGACGGCCAGATGGGCAGTTGAGTGGCAGAACAGGAGGGCGGCGGGTGCCTGGTGGCTTTGCGCCCCCATCTCCTCTCTGCCGTGCAGACACCTCGTCAGCATCTGAGACTGAGAGTGTCCCGTCGCGCTCCCAGCGGGAGAAGGTGGAGTCAGCAGGCGCCGGGGGAGACTCGGAGCCCGCAGGGTCTGCAGCGACTCTGGCGCACACACCTCGGCGCACGCTGCCCTCCCACCACGGCAAGAAGATGCGGATGGCACGGTGTGGACACTGTCGGGGCTGCCTGCGAGTGCAGGACTGTGGGTCCTGTGTCAATTGCCTGGACAAGCCCAAGTTTGGGGGCCCCAACACCAAGAAGCAGTGCTGTGTGTGAGTAGCTGGGATGCAGCTTCCTCCCACCCATGGCTGTCAGTCACCCGGGCCTCCCGCCCCGTCAGAGCAGTGGGTTGGCATCCTGGTGGAGAGCTTCCTCTCTTCCCCCAGACCACAGTCCCCTCCCCTGGTGACGTGCTGCTCCCCTCCCCAGATACCGTAAGTGTGACAAGATAGAGGCTCGGAAGATGGAGCGCCTGGCTAAGAAAGGTAACGAGGCTTGAGGAGTACTTGCTTGTGCACCCTTACCCAGCGTCGGGGGGCGGGGGGGGCGCCCCTCGTCTGTCTTGCGTTCCTGCGTTCACAGCCCCGTCTATGTCGTCTCTGCCGTCGTGTGCTGCCTTCGTGCCTCTCCCGTTCTTGTCTCTGCCCCACTGCTCTCTGGCTTTTCTCCATTCCAGTGTCCCATGTCCCTGACGGAGCTCAAATCCTACTAAGTCCCCTGTTCCCACAGGCCGGACGATAGTGAAGACGCTGTTGCCCTGGGATTCCGATGAATCTCCTGAGGCCTCCCCTGGTCCTCCAGGCCCACGCCGGGGGGCGGGGGCTGGGGGGCCCCGGGAGGAGGTGGTGGCCCCCCCAGGGTCCGAGGAGCAGGACTCCCTCCTACTGCAGCGCAAGTCAGCCCGGCGCTGCGTCAAACAGCGACCCTCCTATGATATCTTCGAGGACTCGGATGACTCGGAGCCCGGGGGTCCCCCTGCTCCCCGGCGTAGGACCCCCCGAGAGAATGGTGAGGATTGCTTGTTGCTTCCACTACCAGTCCCGTCATGGGTGTGGAGAGCGATGGGGCGCCGGGCTCCAGGGCTCTGGGTATGACAGCAGCTTGAGCTAGAGGTGGACAGGGAGGGCGATGTGCAAGGTTTCCAGCAGCTTACTGGAGTGTGGCCTGACTCATCGCCAGGGCCTTGGCAAACTGAAAAAGACCTCGGGGAGCTGGGTAACACAGGGGGGCTGTGGAGTCGGGCAGGGGAGGGGAAACCTCGCTGCTGATGTCTCCTGCCTAGAGCTGCCAGTACCTGAACCCGAGGAGCAGAGCCGACCCCGCAAACCCACCCTTCAGCCCGTGTTACAGCTTAAAGCCCGCAGACGCCTGGACAAGGTGAGCACAGCCCAGAATCCCAGCCCTGTGGGAGGCGGGGCTCTCGCCCTCTAGGGGTGTCCTGGCAGTCGGGTGCTGTGTTTTGCCCACACTGGATGGTAGGCGCTCGGGAGCACCTGGCCTCTCCTCCTGGAACGCCATTAGGATCCGGGCGGAAGCCAGGGTCGGGGGAGGCCTGTGCGGAGAGGAGGCCGCGAGGGGCCGGCAGCGCTCTGACCAGGCCCTGCCCCCAGGACGCTTTGGCCCCTGGCCCCTTCGCCTCTTTTCCCAATGGCTGGACTGGAAAACAAAAATCCCCTGATGGCGTGCACCGAGTCCGCGTGGATTTTAAGGTACAGTACTGGCGGGACGAGGGGGTGGAGGGGCTGTTGCAGAGACTTGTTGAAAGAGACTTGTTAATTGCTCCTGAGAAGCCAGGCCTTCCAGGACGGCTCTGTTCTCTCTCCCCAGGAGGACTGTGACCTAGAGAACGTGTGGCTGATGGGCGGCCTGAGCGTGCTCACGTCTGTGCCGGGGGGCCCACCGATGGTGTGCTTGCTGTGTGCCAGTAAAGGCCTGCATGAGGTTGAACCCTGTCTTTTTCACACACCCCCCACGTGTCTGTCGGCTCTCAGCTACCTGATTTCTTGGGCTCTCTCAGTCGGGCCTCGTTCCCTGGTTTCTTGGCCTCACGCTTTGGCCATCGTTTGCTCTCTCCCACCCCAGCTGGTGTTCTGCCAAGTCTGCTGTGACCCTTTCCACCCCTTCTGCCTGGAGGAGGCCGAGCGCCCCCTGCCCCAACACCACGACACCTGGTGCTGCCGCCGCTGCAAGTTCTGCCACGTGTGTGGGCGTAAAGGCCGGGGATCCAAGGTGTGGGCTCGGGCCTGGGCTCAGTGGGGCGCGGAGCGGGGGGTCTCCCTGTGCCGGCCGACTCTGCCATTGCTCCTTCCCCAAATCCGACAGCACCTTCTGGAATGTGAGCGCTGCCGCCACGCCTACCACCCAGCCTGCCTGGGGCCCAGCTATCCGACACGGGCCACCCGCAAACGGCGCCACTGGGTGAGCGATGCGCCCCACCCGCCCCCTTGCCTTGGAGTCTGTTTAAACACCCTCTCCCCGAGCTTGCCCTCGCCAGGGCTCTTGCGAGAAGGGGAAGGTGGGAGTCTTTATGAGGAGTTGGTCAATGTGTTTCCTTTTCAGCAGCTTCACACAGATAAGACTTGTGTGTAGAATTTGTGTGGAATGGTCTCAGAGGCTGCTGGATCTCATAGCCCCAGGCTCAGAATCTTCCCCAACCGCCCCTCACTTCTTCCCCTCATCCCCTTCCTCCCTCGTCCCTCTTGCCGGTTTCTCCTCTTCTGCCTCTCCCTCTGGCCTCTCTTCTCTTTTTCTCCCTGTCATCTTCCCGCTACTTGCCTCCTATGCGTTCTTGCTCCCCTGTCTGCCCTTGTTTGTTTCCTGCTTGCGCCCCATCCCTCCTGGCCTGTCTTCCCCTTGCCCCGTCCAGCTGGTGTGCGGCTCTCCCCTAACATCACCCCTCCCCAGATCTGCTCAGCCTGCGTGCGCTGTAAGAGCTGTGGAGCGACTCCAGGCAAGAACTGGGACGTCGAGTGGTCTGGCGACTACAGCCTCTGCCCCAGGTGCACCCAGCTCTTTGAGAAAGGTGGGGACCTGTCAGGTGAAATGGACCCTGGGGGCCACCAGGGAATGGCCGCTCCTCGGCAGGCAGCTGGCAGTGCCTTTCTGTAGTGGCTTCCCACCCACTCCCACGTGGAGCCTTCCCTTCTGCCCAGGGCACAGAATGGGGGACACGGAGCCCTGCTCAGGACAGTGAGAGTGTAGGGCCTGGAACCCGACTTCTTGGCAGCCCCTGAGATAACCTCCTGCAGCCTCAGGTGTCTACTGAGCTGTTTGCACACCTAGATTTCCACATTCGTTCAGGCAGCAAGTGAAGCCAGACCCTATTCTTAGGGTGTAGAGGTAGGAGGGAGAACGTTCTCTCAGCCAGTGTTTTGGAAGCGGTAGAGACCCAAGATGGAGCACCGTGGTTGGACACCCCCATGGCCGCAGTCAGGAGGTGGCTGACGCCCAGCAGGGTACAGCGGCCTGAGCCCCTCTGAAGTCCTCCTCTCCCCTCTCTGCTCCAGGAAACTACTGCCCTATCTGCACCCGCTGCTACGAAGACAACGACTACGAGAGCAAGATGATGCAGTGCGCGCAGTGCGACCACTGGGTGCATGCCAAGTGTGAAGGCCTCTCGGGTGCGCGGCAGGGCTCGGGCTGTGACCCAGCCCGGGGGGGCCCTGGCCCGTCTCCCTGGCAGCCCTCGGAGGACCGGTGCCGGAAATACCCTGGCAGCGCTGAATGCTCAGGGCTCTCCCATTCACCCACCCATTTTTTCTTCCACCCTGGTTCTAGATGAAGACTATGAGATCCTTTCGGGGCTCCCCGACTCGGTGCTTTACACCTGTGGACCGTGTGCTGGGGCTACGCACCCCCGCTGGCGAGAGGCCCTAAGTGGGGCTCTACAGGGAGGCCTGCGCCAGGTGCTGCAGGGCCTGCTGAACTCCAAGGCGGCAGGCCCCCTGCTGCTGTGCACCCAGGTCTGGAAAGCTGCGGGGGCGGGGGGCAGGGGGCCCGGCCCGGGGCGGGGCGGGGGGCAGGCTGGCGCTAGCGGCTGACTTCCCCTCTCTCAGTGTGGGCAGGATGGAAAGCAGCTGCACCCAGGACCCTGTGGTCTGCAGGCCGTGAGTCAGCGCTTTGAGGAAGGCCACTATAAGTCCGTGGTGAGTGGCTCACAGGAACAGGTGGGTGTCACGGGGGTGGGGCGCGACCCTAACAAATCCCCTTACAGCACAGCTTCATGGAGGACATGGTCGGCATTCTGATGAGGCACTCAGAAGAAGGGGAGCCCCCAGAGCGCCGGGCTGGAGGCCAGACAAAGGGGCTCCTGCTGAAGGTGTGCTCTTGGGAGATGCTGTCGTGGCTTGGGTGGTGGCGGGGAAAACATGGGTCCTTCAGACCCTGCCCCCGCCACCTCCTGCGGAAGCCCCTCTCATCCTGTTAACCCACTCTCCAGCTGCTAGAGGCTGCGTTCGGCTGGTTCGACGCCCATGACCCCAAGTACTGGCGACGGAGTACCCGGCTGCCAAAGTGAGCAGGGCTGGGCCCAGGAGGGGGCCAGAGAGTGAGGGCCCTGGGGAGTCCAGGGATCAAGCTGGACCGAGAGGAGATGAGCAGATTTAGGGTCTGGAGGGTGGTGGGACTAGGACAGCATCTTTGGTGGTTCTAGAATAGCAGAGTCTCAGAAGTGAAATTAGCTCTCACTCTGTTGCTTTGGGCAAAGCGGTGTTGGGGGTTGGGCAGGCATGATGGCCCAGAGGACCACAGCCATGATGAGGAAGCCCAGGGGGTCACCTGGTGGGGCCTCGGAGGTCAGGCTCCTCAGACGAGAGGGCATCCAAACTGAGGTGGCAGAAGACTGCGGGTCTGGGGAGCGTCAGTTCATGGGGCAAAGGTGGGAGGAGAGGCTTGCTTGGGAGCAGCATCTCCTGCGTGCAGACAGGGAGGGTCGGGCACGTTTAGGCTGATCCCGGGTGGGCCCCGTCCAGCCCCCTGGCCAGCCCTGTCAGACGCTGACCCCGTCTGTCCGCAGCGGAGTCCTTCCCAACGCCGTGCTGCCTCCATCCTTGGACCACGTCTACGCTCAGTGGAGGCAGCAGGAGCCAGAGACCCCAGAGTCAGGGCAACCTCCAGGAGACCCCTCGGCGGGCACTGGTAAGGGGGGCTGGAAGTCGGAGCCCTGTGAGAGGGCGTCGGGCTCTGGGTCCTGAGTCTCAGATTTCCCTTCGCCCCCAGCTTGCCAGGGCAAGGGCCCAGCCGCGTCCTCACACCTGGAAGACCCCCGTCAGTGTGCGCTCTGTCTCAAGTACGGGGACGCAGACTCGAAGGTGAGGCGGCCGCGTGAAGCCCTAGCTTGTGATGCCTGGGCCCCAGGGCAGCTTCACTCACCTCACTCCTCTGCTCGCAGGAGGCAGGGCGGCTCCTGTACATCGGGCAGAATGAGTGGACACATGTCAACTGTGCCATTTGGTCAGCTGAAGTGTTCGAGGAAAACGATGGCTCCCTTAAGAATGTACACGCGGCTGTGGCTCGAGGGAGGCAGATGGTGAGGGCACGGGCCAGGAGGGCTGGGGGGAGCCTCTTCCTGTGCACTCGGGTCGCACGCTCCCCAGCCAGCCCTGGCACCACGCCTGCGCAGTGCCTTTCTTGGTCGGTCTGAGGTTCCGGGGCCGCAGCAGTAGCTGCTTTTTTCCTGTTCGTGCACGCTGACCCTAGAGGGGCTGGGCCTGGGAAACGCAGAGTTAGAGGGTCTGTTGGTGGAAGCCGTGCTGGATGTCCCCTGGAGGGCCTCGGCTCCCTGCGGGGTGGGGGTGCCTGTTGCAGGGACACCACGAGGCTTGAATGGCGTCTGGGTTCCGCAGTAGCACGGACAAAGACTGCCGCTCGGGAAGAGGGAGCTTTGTTATTTTTCTCCCGGGTGCAACACTGTGCTTTCGAAAAACCCGAAGTGGTTCTGATGTGCACTTGGCCCTGGATGCAGCTCACGGAGGCTGTGTGGCAAGGGCCTTGCTGTGTGAGGCGTTGGCCAACAGGCCCGAGTGAGTCCCGAGGATGGTGATGGCGTGCGCGAGGCCCCGGCCCCGGCGCTGGCCTCCGCACTCAGCAGCCCTCCCCCCGCAGCGCTGTGAGCTCTGCCTGAAGCCTGGCGCCACCGTCGGCTGCTGCCTCTCCTCCTGCCTCAGCAACTTCCACTTCATGTGCGCCCGGGCCAGCTATTGCATCTTCCAGGATGACAAGAAGGTTTTCTGCCAGAAGCACACAGACCTGCTGGATGGCAAGGTGAGCCAGAACTGTGGGGGAGACAGCACCCCCTTGCTTTTCCTCCCCCTCCATTCAGGGACCCCCGTGACCCCTCAGGCCTGGTTCCTGCTGTGTCTCAGTGTCTCCTCCTTGTTCTCCCGGCGTCCTTTAGCCAAGCCCCCGACTGTCCAGTCCCTGCCTACAGAACCTTCCCTCGAATCCCCCTCGCCACCCACCAATCCAGCAACCCCATTCGCCACCTACCTCCCAGGAGATCGTGACCCCTGACGGATTTGACGTTCTCCGCCGAGTCTACGTGGACTTCGAGGGCATCAACTTCAAGCGAAAGTTTTTGACGGGTCTCGAACCTGATGCCATCAACGTGCTCATTGGTAAGCCGAGCGCGAGCACACGGTCTCCCTGGCCCTGCTGGCCTTCCCTGACTCCTCCTCTGCACCACAGGCTCCATCCGAATCGACTCCTTGGGTACTCTGTCTGACCTCTCAGACTGCGAGGGACGGCTCTTCCCCATTGGCTACCAGTGAGCAGCTCCGCGGGCCTCGCCGGGTCGGGGCGGCAGGGCTGGATCCCACTTCCCAGGTGTCCTGACTCTTGCCCCCCTGCCCCCCGACAGGTGCTCCCGTCTGTACTGGAGCACAGTGGATGCTCGGCGGCGCTGCTGGTATCGGTGCCGCATTCTGGAGTATCGGCCGTGGGGGCCGAGGGAAGAGCCGGTTCACCTGGAAGCAGCAGAGGAGAACCAGACCATTGTGCACAGCCCTGCCCCTCCCTTAGGTGAGGCCTCAGAGCTGCCGCGTGCTCTGACGCTGCCCTTCCAGGTGGCTGCCCGTCCTTAGCTGATGCTCAGGCGTTTGTGCCGGGGCTGCACTTTGCGGGTCACAGGAAACGGGGAAGAGCCTCACGCTACCTGCTTGGGGGTGGCGACTTCTGGGCAGACTAGGGAGCATTGAGGCCTCCTGACTGGGGCTACGTGCTCATTTAGTGCCCCCCACCGGCCCCTGTTGTACTAACATCTGAAGGGGCAGTTGTTCTCCCCGTAGCCTGGTGGTGGAGCCAGGATTTGAACCTGAAACTGCTTGGTCCCTGTACTCACCCTCTGACACCCCACTAGCTTGGAGACTGGCGGGCGGGGGGTCGTGGGCTCTGTGGAGGAAAAGCTTCGGACTGATTGTGGGTGAGGGCCCTCTGCCAAGACAGAGCATGACATGACGCGACATGGAGGGGAGGCGGGTACAGGCCTTCTGCCTGGATCCGGGCTGTGGGGAGGAGGCAGAGATGAGCGTGTCCAGGTCGGGTGGAGCCGGGTCGTGGGAGTGCAGATATCAGGACGGCGGATGCGTTTGCTGTGGCCGGGGTGTGCAGAGCAGGTGAGAAAGTGGCAGGACTGGCCGTGCTGGAGAGGGCAGTGCCCCTCTTGGCACCGGGCACCTCAGTCAGTGAAGGCAGTAGGCGGCCAGCGATGAGGCAGATAGAGAGACGGAGAGTCGGGCCACGAAGGGGCCCTGACCTAGTTGGGTGGGGGTTTGCTGAAGCCACCTGACCTGTTCGAGAGCAGACAGGAGGAGCAAGCGGCCCAGGGCAAGGGGAAGGTATGGGGTCCAGTCCTCAGTCCTTGCTGCCCTCAAGTGTTCCCATTGCTTCCCTAGCACCCCCAGATCATGTGGACCCCCCGCCAGATGCAGATGCTCTTATCCCTGGAGCTCCTGAGCACCACTCACCCATTCAGAACCAGGACCCCCCACTTCGGTTGGATCCAAGCAACCCCCCTCCCCCAGCCCCCCGCTCCTTCTTGGGGGCTCGAATCAAAGTGCCCAACTACTCACCATCCCGGAGGCCCTTGGGGGGTGTCTCCTTTGGACCTTTGCCCTCCCCTGGTGAGTACCTCAGAATGTTCAGGGGAGGGAAAGGGGGTGGGTGGGGTGAGACAAGAATGCACTGACCCTGACCCTTCCTCAACAGGAAGTCCATCTTCTCTGGCCCACCACATCCCTACAGTAGGAGACCCGGACTTCCCAGCTCCCCCCAGACGCTCCCGTCGTCCCAGCCCCCTGGCCCCCCGGTTGCCACCGTCACGACGGGCCTCGCCCCCTCTCAGAACCTCCCCTCAGCTCAGGGTGCCCCCTCCTACCTCAGTCATTAGAGCCCTCACACCTACCTCAGGGGAGCTGGCTCCCCCTGGCCTGGCCCCATCTCCCCCGCCACCCCCTGAAGACCTGGGCCCAGACTTTGAGGACATGGAGGTGGTGTCAGGACTGAGTGCTGCTGACCTGGACTTTGCGGCCACCCTGCTGGGGACTGAGCCCTTCCAGGAAGAGATTGTGGCCGCCGGGGCAGTGGGGAGCAGCCATGGGGGCCCCGGGGACAGCTCAGAGGAAGAAACCAGCTCCACCCCGCGCTACGTCCATTTCCCTGTGACTGTGGTGTCTGGCCCTGCCTTGGCGCCCGGCCCCCTCTCGGGCGCGCCCCGCATCGAGCAGCTGGATGGTGTGGATGACGGCACAGACAGCGAGGCCGAGGCTGTCCAGCAGCCGCGGGGCCAGGGCGCTCCTCCTTCGGGGCCAGGAGCAGGCCGGGCCGGGGCCATTGGGGCTGCCGGGGACAGGGCCCGACCTCCTGAGGACTTGCCTTCGGAGATTGTGGATTTTGTGCTGAAGAACCTGGGGGGGCCAGGGGAGGGAGATGTTGGGCCCAGAGAGGAGGCGCTCCCCCAACCACCACCTATAGCGAATGGCAGCCAGCCCCCCCAGGCCCTTCCCCCTAGCCCAGCTGACCCTACCCGGACATTTGCCTGGCTCCCTGGGGCCCCAGGGGTCCGGGTGTTGAGCCTCGGCCCTGCCCCTGAGCCCCCCAAACCTGCCACATCCAAAATTATCCTTGTCAACAAGCTGGGGCAAGTGTTTGTGAAAATGACTGGGGAGGGTGAGCCTGCCTCACCCCCAGTGAAGCAGCCGCCTCTCCCCCCACCTGTCCCCCCCACAGCCCCCACCTCCTGGACTCTGCCCCCAGGTCCCTTGCTGGGTATGTTGCCAGTGGTGGTCCGCCCTGCCCCACCCCCTCCACCCCCTCCATTGACGTTGGTGTTGAGCAGTGGACCCCCCAGCCCACCCCGCCAGGCCATCCGCGTCAAGAGGGTGTCCACCTTCTCTGGCCGTTCCCCACCGGCGCCTCCCCCAAGCAAGACCCCCCGGCTGGAGGAAGATGGGGAGTCCTTGGAGGAACCCCCCCAGGGGGTTGCAGGACTTAGTGGCAGCGGGTAAGTGACGACCTTGAGGCTCTGGAAGGAGGCCGGGAGCAGCAGGCTGCAGGCAGCTCAGCCTTCTTGTGGTTCCCCCCCAGGTTTAGCCGAGTGCGGATGAAGACGCCCACTGTGCGTGGAGTTCTAGACCTGGACGATCCTGGGGAGCCCGCCGGGGAGGAAAGCCAGAGGTGAGCGGCCAGTGCCCTTCCCTTGAGACCCTGGGGCCTCTGTCCCTTCCCTTTTCTGACAGGTCTCTCCTCATAGGCCCCTCCAAGACCGGTCCCCTCTGCTGCCACTTCCAGATGGCGGTGCTACGCGGACATCCGACGGTCCCCCCGACTTGCTGCTTGAGTCCCAGTGGCACCACTACTCAGGTGGGGGTCAGCCTGCCTTCTCCTGGCCTCTTCCCCACTACCTGCCTCAGATGCAGAATTGTTGCACTTCATACGACACCCATTGGTGCTGCACATTGCACCTCTGCCAGAGTGAGCCTAAGGCTGGGTGCTGGAGTTGCAGAGAGGCCCTCAGGGAGCGTAGGACTTGTGGTAAAAACAGAAGTAGCAGCTCCATGTAAGAAGCTCTTGGAAGCAATTTGACTGAACATGCCCAGGAGCCCAGGGGGAGGGCCTCAGAGCTTAGCGTCTCAGGGTCAAGGGTCAGGTACCTCGTAACTTTGAAGATGACATTGTGGGCAACAACCGGAAAGAATAGAAACCACCTCAGTGTGGCAGAAGTGGGCATGATCAGAGGAGGGGCCTCAATCTGTCCCTAGAGTTCACATGACGTATGTGTTCAGTTGGGGTGTCCTCTCGTGCGACTCGCCAGAGCCCCTGGGAAGGGAGTGTCTGCATCCCACTGCCAGAGGCCGCCAGGCCTGGGGGTGGGGAGAGGGTTGGGGTGCTATGTGAGCAGGACGGGAGGATGCTTCAGAATCCAGAGTGAAGTCTGGGTGATAAGCCAAAACGGCACCCAGGCACCTTGCCAAAGGCTGAGCTGGGGGGAGGTAGGCAGGTCAGCTGTTGAAGGGTTCGGCGTGACGACTGAGGACAGGCGGCTCGTGGACAAGGAGTGGAAGGATGGTGAACGGGCTCGCTCAGTAGGCGGCCTCTCCGAGAGGGGGGGCAGGAGGGTGCTTACGGAGACCTTGGTGTGTGGGGTGAGTGAATGAGTGGGAAACTGCAGGGAAGTGGTGCTTTGTTGTCATGGGCGCCAGGAGGGGCACTGGGCCAAGCAAATTGACATGCGACAGCCCAAGGCGCTTAACTTCCTGTGATGCCAGTCCTAGCCAGATGTGTGGATCAGCGCAGCTGCTGACCGTGGAAGCCGAGTGGCGTGAGCTGAGGGTATTTAGTGCAAGGCCGCTGACGGGGGTCTGAGCACAGGGACCAGACACGGTCATTAGCAAGTGCACAGCACCTTAGGGCGACACAGTGGGAAAGAAGGCAGAGAGAGAAGATCTGGGCCGGGGCCCTGGTGTGTTCAGAGGACAGAGTGGAGTTGAGGGTGGGGAGAGGACTGACATGGCAGACCTGGTCCGTGGAGGCCTGGGGATGTTGTGGGGCTGGGTTCGGGCCTTGCTTAGATCCGGGGGACACAGGAGCGGGCATGGTGGTCGGGAGAAGTGACCAGCTGAATCCTGCCTCAGTCCTCACTCAGCGTGGAGCTCCCCATGCCACTCAAGGCTGGGGACAGCCCCTGCCCACTTCCAGGGGCAGTGGCAGTAGCAGTGCTGCCCCTTCCTCCCTCTGCAGCACTTCTTCTGTCCCGGCACCCACCCGTCTGCTCTCTGGTTGCGCCTGCTCATTGGTCCACCCGCTCAACGCAGGCGTGTCAGCTTCTGGCCCGGACTTTGCCATGGGCATGCCCAGGGCCTTCAGCTAGCTCTCAGCCGCTTCCCTAGCACATTTCACCCGCCCCCGGCTTACTGGCTGTGCTCCTGCTCGCCAGCTCCACCACAAGCCGCGAGGGGAGGCTTCTGCGAGGATCATTAGACTAAGTGTGTCCGAAACACACTGTCCTTCCCCCCAAAACTCACTCCCCCCACCCCCATCGCTCAGTGGCCACTGTATCCTTTCAGTTGTCCAGGCCTAGGTCCAGGCTTGTCCCTGACTGTCTTTGACGTCCCTTCCTCCCCCGTCAGCGATCCTGTTTGCTCTGCCTTTAGCTCCTGAGAGTAGTCCCTAATGTCTATGTCCTTGAGTCTGTGAGTGCGGGCCTCTGTAATAGGTCTTCGAAAAAGTCATGAGGCATTTTTTTCTGTTTTTCAAGCAAAAATGCATCGTGACTTTGCCAACAGCCCAATAAAAAACAGCTACAGAAAGGTACTGCATATAAAAATCGTGCAGGATATGATTCTCCAGTGTGTTCAATTTTATATGTGGCTGGTGAAGGGTAGGTGACCTTTTATGGTAAGCTGGGGTCAGTGAGCCGAAAATGAGTCCCGCGGAGCCACAGCACCCCAGCCTCTGTGGAACTGCTCATTTACTCAAGAAGGTCTGCAGGAAGGACCTCTTTGGGGGAAAAAACCTGTTCTATAGGGTTCACTGGGGAATCAGCAAGAACAGGACTGACCAACCCCATGTCTGCATTTATGCCCAGAGGAAGGGTGAGCTTTGGGGGCCTGGGAGTTTCTGAGGCCAGAAAGTGTAATCCTCACCTACTCTGACCTGCCCCTTGGGAGCAGGTGAAGCTTCGAGCTCAGAGGAAGAGCCTCCATCCCCAGAGGACAAAGAGAACCAGGCCCCAAAACGGGCTGGCCCGCACCTGCGCTTTGAGATCAGCAGTGAGGACGGGTTCAGCGTGGAGGCAGAGAGCTTGGAGGGTGAGTGAGGCGGTGGCATCGGCAGGGAGGGCAGCCATCCCATCCCCCACAACCATTCTGACTGCTCGGGCCCTGCCCTCTCCCAGGGGCCTGGAGAACGCTGATTGAGAAGGTGCAAGAGGCCCGAGGGCATGCCCGGCTCCGACACCTCTCCTTCAGTGGTGAGTGTGGCATCTGCAGGGATACGGGAGGCTGGGCTGGCCTGCAAGCACTCGGTGGGCCTCCCTGACTGGCCCTGTGCCCTCACCTCTCACTTCCCCCAGGAATGAGTGGGGCAAGGCTCCTGGGCATCCACCATGATGCTGTCATCTTCCTGGCGGAGCAGCTGCCGGGCGCCCAGCGCTGCCAACACTATAAGTTCCGCTACCACCAGCAGGGAGAGGGCCAGGAGGAGCCGCCCTTGAATCCCCACGGGGCGGCCCGCGCGGAGGTCTATCTCCGGTGAGAGGTCTGGGGTGTGATGCCTGGCCGGGGAACCCAGTGGGAGTTCTCGTGGGTGGGATTAAGTCACCGTCAGTGGAAACCTGAGGCCTGGGAAGAAGACACTAGGCTGCTGGAGAACTCCTTCTAGGTGCCCAGTGGGAGAATGGCCCCCTTCCGTTCCCCTTCACCAGTGTCTTCCGTTGAAGCACTTCTCCCGCGTGCCTAGCAGTAGGCCCGAGTCGAATAGCTAGGGAGTAGCCCCTGGAAGGACTGGCTCTGAGCCTCCCCCTCCCTTTCCTCCCGCCTGCAGGAAGTGTACTTTCGACATGTTCAACTTCCTGGCCTCCCAGCACCGGGTGCTCCCTGAGGGAGCCACCTGCGATGAGGAAGAGGATGAGGTGCAGCTCAGGTCCACCAGGTATGGCGGGCAGGCCAGGGTGCTGGGGGTCTGTTCGGTCTTCAAAGAAGGGACCAGGGGCGGCCTGGGTACCAGCTTTTGTGGCGCTGCTGTCCCCATCAGACGTGCCACCAGCCTGGAGCTGCCCATGGCCATGCGCTTTCGCCATCTCAAGAAGACGTCCAAAGAGGCTGTGGGTGTCTACAGGTTAGTGGGGTTGGGGAGGAGGCCCCTGCGGTGGGCGGACAGGCACCCGTGTGGGGCTGTCGTGGGCCTGTCCCCCGAGCTCTGAGCTGGCCCCCACCACCACCTGCAGATCTGCCATCCACGGGCGGGGCCTGTTCTGTAAGCGCAACATCGACGCGGGTGAGATGGTCATCGAGTACTCTGGTATTGTCATTCGCTCTGTGCTGACTGACAAGCGGGAGAAGTTCTACGACGGGAAGGTAGGCGCTGCCGGGCAGGCAGGTGCGCAGCGCGGAGCCGGGGCCGAGGCAGGGCGGGCTGTGGGGACAGAACACGACTGCGCCTGTCCCGCCCTCCAGGGCATCGGGTGCTACATGTTCCGCATGGATGACTTTGACGTCGTGGACGCCACGATGCACGGCAACGCCGCCCGCTTCATCAACCACTCGTGTGAGCCCAACTGCTTCTCTCGAGTCATCCACGTGGAGGGCCAGAAGCACATTGTCATCTTCGCCCTGCGCCGCATCTTGCGCGGTGAGGAGCTCACCTATGACTACAAGTTCCCCATCGAGGATGCCAGCAACAAGCTGCCCTGCAACTGTGGCGCCAAGCGCTGCCGTCGGTTCCTTAACTGAAGCCGTGGCTGCCCGCGTCATCCCCATGACCCCTGCTGCCATCTGGCCCTAGCCTGGGGGCTTCCCAGTTCCTCCCTGAGCATCTCACCCCCACCCTCAAGTTCAGGGTGGATGTGGGTGTGCCGGTGGCAAGGGCCTTGCCTCCACCCCTCCAGCCCACCCAGCAATCGGCCCCCTAAATGCCCTGGGGGCCCAGGATGTAGATACTGTACAAAGGTTTCTAAATCCCTTCTTTTCTATGCACTTTTTTATTTAAGAGGGTGGGAACCCAGGTGGGAACCCCCCACAATAAAGTCTGTCAATGTTTGGAGAGGTGGTCTTCCCATTTGTCTGTTGGGGGGCAGAAAGCAGCCCCCGTTTCGAGTTACCTTGCGCCCATCCCAAGCCAAGGAAAAACCCATCGGCCCAAACTGATAGGTGAGGCAGTCATCCAGTGGACTGTGGAGTGAGTGAGGGCTTTGGAGCAACATAGTCTGCCCTTCCCAGTGAGAGCCCAGCGGGTCCTGTGGCAATGACCCACGCCCCCCCCCTGCACTGCCCCCCTCCGCAGCAGGCTTGCCCAGAGGCCAGCTCCCCCACACCTGCTCCTGGGGGGGCGAGAGGGGAAGACATGGGCCCCTTTATCGCAGGGAAGGGGAGGAGAGGATATCTGTTGGGTCTTGACCCGGGAAAGGTCGTAGTTCAAGAGGGCCCCATAATGAAGCCCACTGCAGGCACCTACTTTAAGGGATTCTTTATTGCCCAGCCTGGACAGCACCTGCAGCCCTTCTGCCGGCCCCAGCCCTGCCAGGTGTCTGCTGAGCTGGCCCAGGGAGGTAGAGGGCCCCCTTGCCACTACCGTCTCAATCGGAGCCTGCAGGGGTGAGCAGCTGGGTTGCAGGGAGTAGGCAAAAGTGGACCAAGCAGCAGGCTGCCCAGACCTCGCAGCCAGGTGCCTAGTGGTGCCACCGGCCATCCCGCCCCCACCCAGCCCTGGCTCAGGGTCCAGCAGCATGATCAGCGCCTCCAGCACTTCCAGATCTTTCAGAAGGCGAGGCAGGGGCTCCGATGCCAAACCAGGCAACTCTGGGAGATAGAGAGGTACAGGGAGGAAGGAGTGCTTCCCCTCTCCCTGCCCCTCCTTGGTGCATCCCAGGCTAACCCCGGCCGAGAGGTGGAGGCAGATATCTGCTTCCGTGAATCCCCTGCCTCTGAGGCCTCCAAGGATCCTGGAGTGGGCTGGTGCAGAGACAGGGGGGTGTGGGTGTTGGAGTCCGCCCCCACCCCATGCGAGGACAGAGGCGGAGGGCAGCCTTGCCCCGAGGGTGGCAGCAGCGGTGGTGCCTTCGCAGGGCCAGCAGGATGGCGGCGGTGGTGAGCAGAACCAGCCCCGGGGGCAGGGCAAAACTCGGCAAGGCAGAAAGTTGCCCAGCAGGCTGAGAGGTCCCCGAGAGACCGGAAGTGGCCTTGTAGGAGACCGGAGGGCCCCTTGGTAGGAACTGGCTTCTGGACACAAGCTGGAGTAAAGTGGGGGAAGGGATACCCCACTCCCACCTTCTCTACCTGCAGCTTTCATGGCACCCACCG